TCAAGTCTCTATAGTTCAACTCAAGGGTGTAGATTTGGCATGGACGGAAGGGATGTGTCCCCACCAATATCCAGCGATTATTGAATTGTCCCCACCAATAATTTGATCTCTGTAGATCAGAGGTGGAGTTAAGGAAAACAAACCTGATAGAAAGAAAAAAAAAAACCGATCTGTCAACGTCTCATTCACCCAGCGGTGCAGAAAGAGTTAAATTACGTTCTCTACTGGAGTCCTACCTCATGTGACAAATATGGCCAATGTGATTTGCTGAGCCTTCCAGGGAGCTCTATTTAGTTTTAGCAGTGGCAAGCCTGCGCTGCGAGGAGGAGAGGAGGATGGCAGCAAAAAGGAAGATCCTGGATATAAGAAAGTATTTTTCAAAGAAACCTGTAAGTCGCTTAAAGTCAAGTTCACTCATAAAATGTGTCTGTCATAATAACCTTACAGGCTATGCTACGCCATACATGCCAACCCTGCCGGTGATTTTTCAGGGAGAATCCTGAATTTCAGTGCCCCTTCCGAAAATCTCCCGGAGCCACCATTCTCCCGAATTTCTCCCGATTTTCCACCCGGACAACAAAATTGAAAAACCATATCCCAACTTGGCCCAGCCAATTCCAGTTTTTAACAATGGCTACTACTACTGCAGCTACTTAGTTTTACTCTTATTACTCTTTCTGGCTCGCAAAATAAACTTTTAACATATTTTTAGGCGAGAATGTAGCTGTGTAAACTTTCTGTTTTATTGTACTTACATTATAATCAATCAGCTTCCTTTGGTCCACTTAAAATATGTTTACAGAACTATTTTTGCATTTGTCGCAATTTCAGTTGTCTTCTTGGCCAGATTACTCTTATGAGAGACATTTTTAAAGTAAACAATAATAAATAAAGGATACATAAAAGTCACTGCCAAAAACTGATTGCGGCTTGTTTGTTGATCAAGATGACCTGATATAATTCATGAGGGATATATTTGACATATGTTTCACATATTATAGACCAACAAGTTATTTATAGCAGTTTAAATACAAGCAATTAGTTTTTGGCACAACACCTGGTCCTCAGGTGGACGCAGCCTCTGAATTTGGACACTCCTGTTTCTGGCCGGACAATAATAACGGTGACATTTAACTCATTTTATCCAATAAATAAACATTGTAAAATTCAACTTTTTTTTTTACTAATTTACTAATTTTTTACTGTAACAACCACATAGATGTTTATTGAATCATATTTCATAACTTTAAATGCAAATATAAATTGTCAATTTTAAAATCATATGCACAACTTTTGCAAACAACAAAGTTATTTGCAGCCATTTACCTTTCACCCTTTTTTAAAAAAACCATTTCAAACTGTTTACATAACAATCAGGTATTCTGCATTCAATAAGATGCCACAAAAATTATTTGTGCCACTCCAAAAAAATAATTTCTGTCCACTATAAAGGAGAACATCATAAGCACCTGCAGGTCTGACAACAGCAGGTGAAACAATCCTATGAACTACTTCCAGCAGTACAACAAAAATGCTAAGAACATTCCTAACATTCCTATAATACAAAACATACAGAGAGTCACCACATGAGCTAGAGCTTGGACTCAAATTCACAAAGGGTAAGTGGGGGGTCTTATGAGGGAGTCTTAGGGCTGTCAAGGACATGGAATGGGGAACCAGGCACTGGGTAATAACCAGAGTAGGAACCTTGAAGCCTTTACTGACTGTGGCTAGCAGACAATCCCGCAAAGAATGATTGTGAGCGCTGGTCTTAAATCCTCGCAGACTGATTGCACACAGGTGTTGCCAATGCGAGTAGACACCATGGCTCCGCCCCGAGGTGGAAACACTAGTAGAATGGAAAAAACCCAGTACTCACCCGGACCGTGACATTTGTATTGTCAATAAAACTGAAATGGTTCCAGATTTTGCTTCTTTCTTGGTGTCACTCATTTTCTTTACTATACCTTTCTAATGTTTTGATGTTGTCTCTTGTTGTTGCCCCTGGCTCTCTTTCTTTTTTACCGCTCCCCCCTGCTCTGTTTGTTTGCTAATGCTGCTGCCAGTGTAACTACCACATCTTCCATCTCTGCTCAGCGTAAACACAAGGCTCACGTGCAGCGTAAAGCGGAAAAAAGTGAGAGAGAGAGGGTGAGAGAAAGAAAAAAAAACCCCACTCCCAATAAGGAGCCGGCTCCAGTTGTTCTCTTCAAAGAGCCGGTGTTGTGCCAAAAAGTGGTTGTCTGCCAAAAAGTGATTTCCGGTATTTGCCAAAAACTGATTGCTCGTATTTAAACTGCTATAAGTAACTTGTTGGCCTATAATATGTGAAACATATGTTAAATGCATCCCTCATGGATGACATAAAGTCATATTGAGCCACAAACAATATTCGTGTAACAAGGTAGAAGCCGCAATCAGTTTTTGGCAGTGACTTTTATATAACCTTTATTTATGCAGTTAAAAAAAATCTCATTAACATTAAAAATGTCTTTTGTAAGAGTAAGTTGGCCAAGAGAACAGCAGAAATGGCAGCAAATATGACAATAGTTCTGTAAAAATATTTTAAACGAGGATAAAGGACCGGATTGGTTATAATGTAAGTACAATAACACAGAGCTGAAAAGTTACTTGAAAAAACAGATAATTTTTTAATTCTATATATAACCCCTTTGTAAACGCTGTTCATCGAAGTCTATTTACCAACATACATAAAGATATTACACATAAAAAAATACACGGAAACATTGGAAATCGGTTTTTGGCAGGCAATCACTTTTTGGCACAACACCGGCACTAAGAGCCATCACGTTTGCGACTAATCCATCACTACTACACATAAATCCATGCGTGTTTTTGCATTAATCGGAGATTCAGCAAATATCACAATGGAGGTTGTACACACTGAACAAGCCAGATAAAGCAGACAACAAACAGTTATGCTTGCATTCTGTGGTTATTGCTGAATAATGTTTTTGAACACAAAAGCGTGGCACTGCAATGTTTTTTTTTCATTCAAAAATTTAAATTGAATTTTAAATTCAAAATGATTATTGGTTGTTCCTGTCAGACAGAGAACAACCAATAATCAGTTTGAATATTGGTGCTTGTGCATTCTGCCATAATGAAATATGTGAGAAATATATTGGGCTCTGATCTAAATTTTTAGGTCTCAGTGAAATGCTACTGTTCTGCAGGAGAGGGAAACAAAGCCTTGGTACTGCCCTTGCATCTACTTCACATGCATGTGCAATCTGCACATACCAATTACTGTATGCATTGGCTTTTCAAATAAACAAACAGTCATCATTCAATTATTAAATCAATCCAGTAGTTTTAAATTTAAATTTGAACAATTTGTGGTTGTGGCTCAGGTGGCAGAGCAGGTCAGCCACTAATCTGAAGGTCGGTGGTTCGATCCCAGGCTGCCTCCTGGCAGCATGCCAAATATCCTTGGGACTAACCCCAATGTTTGCCTACTGGTGGTGGTCAGAGGGCCCGGTGGTGCCAGTGTCCGGCAGCCTCGCCTCTGTCAGTGCGCCCCAGGGCAGCTGTGGCTACAATGTAGCTTGCCATCGCCAGTGTGTGAATGACTGAATGTAGTGTGAAGTGCTTTGAGGTCCTTAGGACTAGAAAAGCGCTATACAAATGCAGGGCATTTACCATGTATGTGTATTTCTGGCAGAAATTTGTATAAATTACAGAATATTTAAGTGAGTTCCAATTAGAAAATTATTTTGTAGTTTAGATCAGTCTATTTGGTGCGATTTGGCAAGGTTTTGATATGGAGTTATTGGTATTCCAGTAGTTACAAGCAGATTTCACAAAGTTGAATATATTAAATATTTATGTTAACTTTATAGTGTGGGAAAACTGATGACGATGAGTATCATGATTTGTTTGAATGTAGTTATTTTAAGTTGCAAAGACAAAAATATCTGCCTTTATATTTTAGGTTTATATCGCATGCTTAAAAGAGAGAGAATTGTTTAACACTAAGGATATTATTACAAAATTATTGCAAAATTATACAAAGAAATTGTATCTGTATTTGAACATGGGTGATTTTTTGACAGATGTATTTATTTTTTGATAATGATTATATGCACTGAATAACCATCAGCTTTGTTTGTTCATTTGTATATTTTCTCTTTTAACCCAGGAGGATGATGAATGACTATAGGTTGAAAAAATGAAATAAAGAATAGAATGACCCCCCCCCCCCCCCCCCCCCAAAAAAAGATGTCTGGTGACTTAATGCATATTGTCCATATTTGAGATGTCCATGGGGTCACAATAACTGTATTATAAAGGACAATTTATTTTGAGCTGAGTATGAAAAATTACTGTCTTTGTCCTTAAACTGATGATAGCTTGATCAAAAAAGTTTTGTTAATTTTTTGTGTAAATTATAGTCCCATTTAGTGTCATGAGACAGAGAAGAAACTTCTCAGTTCATTTTAGAACTCCTCAGTTTAAGGATAAATATGAACCTAAAATATCAGCTTTACTGCCAAATTATCTTCACCCTTGCTAAAAAAAATAAAAAATAAATTAGGAGAAAGAAAAGCTAAAGTGAAAAATAGTGATGACTAAAGCTCAAGTTTGCTAAAATGCCAAATTCAAGGATTCAAAACTCCATCTAAATGATATATTCCCTCATTTGGAGTTTTGGTGATGGTGGGGAAGAACATTGTCTAATGTTTTCTCGGTAAAATCAATATCATAAGATTTACAAAATTTTCACCATCTTGATAAAAAGGTTTAATCTCAAATGCCATTCATCTGGAAAGCCTCATCGACAATAACCCTTGCATTCATGAGAACAACTGGACCCCAACTATGCTTCCTGACTACCACGCCACCACATGCCCTGTATCGCAATAGTAATGTTTGCTATAAAAAGTTTGCTTTTTTTCTTTACATATTCATGCATGCACATATTTTACAAGGTTTTAAAAAACACACATTACACCTATCCCATCAAAAAAGAAACTCACCTTTTCTTAGTGTTTTCTGATCGCTGCCTGGTTTGTGTAGATGCTGCTGCCTTCTTAGGAATCCTACCAGACCCTGTTCTTTATATAGAGAGATTGGTGACGTCAGATGCTAAAGGTCTGCCCCTCACAAACCTCTCCCAACTGCTCTCAACAAATAAGATATGACATGGGAGGGTTAACAACTTTTAGATTGCTGCATGCACACGACTTTCAAATTTGTGATATTGAAAGCTAAACTTAAAGAATAATTCAGTTTTATTTACATCTGCCATGATCTGCTAGGTGTGGTGTTGGTGAGAACTGTAGAAGAAGAATTCATTGTATTATGGGAGAAAGAATGTGACTTAGAAGAAAGCTGTTTGTTTAACAATAACATCACTCAACATCCCCAATCCTCGCCCAGTCAAGCTGACATGTTAACTGTTATCTGGGAAGAGAGTTTTTATCTTTTTATCTGATCAAGTTAAATAGTGAAACAGTACTGATTGCTTGACTTGTTACTTTAATCTTAAAAGTGTCATCATGTTGGGTGTCCCCCTTCGTCTCCTGTGTGTAGTCATATCTGGTTGTAAATGTCAAGTTTCTGTCTCTGTCTTGTCTTCATGTTTCTGTCTCTGTCCCTCACCCTCACTCTCTCTCAGCTCTGAGTGTTCTGTGGCTTTCTTTCCTTTTTTATGCTTTCGCTTCCTTCTTTGAGTGTAAATTTGCAGGTCTGCCACTGCTTGCTTAACTTGTTGCTTTAATTTTGAAAATGGCTGCACCTGTTTAACATCAGTCAGATCACTGCCTGGCAAGGCTTCTTTTCTGCTGGCACTATAGGAGATGCATGAAATGAGCTCAGCAAATTGAAGCCCACATAAGTTTTTGTACACATGTTGTTGGACATTTATGTACATCTTCTTATTTCACTCAGTCCCATATTTGTCATTTACTAATGTCTGTGTTGTATTGTTTTCCTCACTACAATCTGTCTTAAACATCGAATTTTATCTAACTCAGCTCATGAAAAAGAATACAAGCAACATTAAATAAACATGATTTAAGACTTAAAATGTTTCTCAATGAAACAACGTCTGACCCTCTACAAAACATTTGTATCACAAAATGAAATTTAAATACTCAAAAAAATATATAAATTCCCCTATTATATCTTTTCAATGCTTGAGCAATGCAGAATCTTCAGTGAGTGCATATTTGAAGGAAAGAAGTGTCAGATGTTGTTTTGGTATATGCCCCAACCTCATCTCATTCTTCTAAGTCACATGGTTTCAGGGAAATCATGAGGTGAAGCTCATGATTATTCCTTTTATTCATTAAGAAGTCATGTTTATGCAAAGACCCCAAACTTCTTATACCTCTCATCTCCCGTTGGTTGAAAACAGGTGGGAGGAGTTTGTGAGAGGCAAACGTAGCATCAAATGTTACTAATCTCACTGTATAAAGAACAGGATCTGGCAGAATCTATAAGAAGGCAGCTGCGTCTACACAAACTAGAGCTCAGAAACTGAGTTTATGCAAAAGAGAGAGAATAACTTGTAAAATCTGTACATGTAAAAGTATGTAGATGCATTGGATGGGAGAAGGGTCAGTGTAAATCAGTGTAACATTTTTCAGAGTCAGAATCTTTGAGATGAAACACTTTAGGCTGAAGAGGATGAAAATTATCAAATCTCAGCAAATTTCAACATCAGTGACAAGATGTGCACTTATTTCTCTGTCTGGTGCAGACAGAAATACAAACCTTTTTAAATTTATTTTATATAACAGACTACCTGCATGTATGATTCACAGATTTCCTGTAAAGATAAGAAGTCGCTGAGATGGAGGACTGTGATAAGACTGCAGTGGCAGGTGAGGAGAAGGAAAAAATATTTCTATAATTTATAATTATAATCTTATTATAATTATTATTATTATTATAATCTATAATTTCCTGTTTGGGGTAGTGTTGCTGTTGCTGTGATGTACACAGTGTTGGGTTTAAGTCAACCCTGCTGCTTAATGCAGAAACTGTTACGGAAAGCAACCACACAGACACCAGAATAGTTTCACTTGCAAGGGGAGCGCAGAGTGTTTCCCCTGAGTGTTGCTCTCACACGTCTACTCAAAAAACTCCAACTCGTCTGCGCCCGCCTCACTCTTTTATTGTAAGCAAAGTGGGTCACATAAGTTTCCAGAAGCTTCAAAATAATCAGGCAAACGCTTGATTGGTTATACAGTACAAGCAGTACGTGACTTCATCTAACTATGAACATGTCTTTCTGGTGAGATAACAGGAACTGGCAGGTGTGGTCGCAGTTTCAACAACATGAGACAGTCTGGCAGGTTCAATAGGTCATGTGTTAACAGTTTATAGGCACTTGTTTTAAATTTTTTATTCTTTACACATAAATCTTTTAATTAATGACAATCAATTTATCCAACACACAGTTTTAGATAATTTTCTGTTCCAACTTTCTCTCTGCTGCAGTGCACCATAGTGGTGTTTTGGAGCCAGCTGCAAACAGCTTGATCAGTTTTCATCTTTTCCATACTAACCTCTTTCAGTTTGTAAGAATAAAAGTGCATTTTTCAACAACAAGACCAATTGACAGCAGCAGCAGAAATGCACTGGTTTCCTGCAGATTTGTAGGAAACTATTGTGGTGCTGGTCAGTGGCCCAACCACCCCATATGGAAAAGAAATAGAAAAAACTTATAAAAGACTTGCATAAGATGTGGCCTACTTCATATAGTGAATCATATAAGGATTATATGATTTACTCATGAAAGTGGCCACTTTCTCATTACTTTTATATATTGTTTTAGTAAGTATCCAAAACATACAAGTTTCATTTATATAATTTTTCAAGGGATCTTATATCTGTTTTAACTCTTGTATGCTTTTCATACAAGTTTCACACAAGACAGATACAAACTTTATAAGATTTACATATATCTTTTCCATATGGGACATCTCTTTTGTCCAAGTCAGATGGTTTCTGGAAAATCCTGAGGTGTTGCCAGTACTCCCCAATCTTCTTTTGATGTCATTAAGAAATCATGTCTGTGAAGGTTCTCAGTCATCCAGGTCATTGTAGTCTAAGGAGCTTGGAAAGAAAAGCGTCTGGACCTCTATATGTTGCTTGAAGACGTTTCACCTCTCATCCGAGAGATGAGACGTCTCGGATGAGAGGTGAAGCAACTTCAAGCAACTTAATTAAGAAATCATGTATAAGTCATGCAGAGACCCAAAACTCCTTATAACTGTCATAACATCTCCCATTGGCTGAAAACAGGTGGGAAGAGTTACATGCAAATATAGAATCAGATGTTACTGATGTCCCTAAATATAAAGAACAGGGCCTGGTAGGATTTATGAGAAGGCAGATGCATCTGCACAATAGTGGTGGGCGGATCGATCCAAATATCGATTGTATTGATACCAAGTCGGCATCGGGATTGGATCGATACTAACCCGGTGAGATCGATTCTTTACTTTAAGTTCCGCTCTTGTGTGCAATGCTGTTGTTTCGGAAAAGATGAAACAGCCAGGTCGTCGGACTCACACTCCTGTGTCAGCACAGAGCAGGCACACTTGCTCCACCTCCCACCTCTTGTGTTTAGATGTTGCGCCTTCACATGACGTGACTTACACACTTTGGGGGTTGTTAAGTTGTTTACATATTATTTATATTTTCACCAGTTGTTGAGAATTTTAATTGTAATTTTTGTATTATAGTTTCTCAACAGTACTTGTTTGTTTTAATTTGTTTACTGGTTTTCATGTACTTTTTATTTAGGATTTTTCTAGAAAGAAACTGATAATAAAGCATTTTCTAATTAATTATAAACTTTGTCCTAATTATGTCCTGGGTTTCAACTATTTAATAATAAAAAAGGAAACATCACAAAAAACACTTAAGGTCATTAAAATTAATTGAGATTTAGCAAATCAATGACGCAGCCACCTTATTTATTAAAAAGTATCGGTAACGGTGATACTGGCGCGTATTTATTTGGTATTGGATCGAAACCAAAATATGCAGTATTGCACACCACTACTGCACAAACCAGACAGAGTTTAGAAGGTGAGTTTATTTTATTGGGTGATGTTTCTATAATGTGTGTGTGTGTGTCTGTATGTATAGCACACGACAGCATTAGTGACAATGAAGCTGTTAAATGAAGTTTAAAATGAAGCTGGGAGTCTTTTTACACACCCCACTATGTTACCGAAACAGTCAGCTCAGTTGGAGTGAAAGAAAATGTTTTTCATGCATTCAAAGCTCCATACATCTCTCATATCATCCCTGATTTGTTGAAAGCAGGCAGTGAGGAGGAGTCATAGCATTGGATGTCACTGATTTCTCTCTCTATATAAAGAACAGGGTCTGGTAGGATTTATAAGACAGCAGCATCTACAAAAACCAGACAGTGTCACCGTCCGCTGTGTGGCAGGCAGGAGGAAGGACATAAATGGAGGACTCAAACACAGAAACATAACTTAAAACGACAGCGTTATTGGTGGGGGGAAAAATCCATTAAATAAACTCATGAAAAAGAGAAGAGGAGTTTATTGAGAATTCCACATTAAGGATGATTATTAATACATTTTTAATAATGACTGTCACATTCCTTTGACTTGTTTTCCCTCATTTCTAGTTTAATAATTTCAATGGTTTTTTAACATGATGTCATTATGTTATCTAATTCTTTGACTATAATTAAATATAACTGTTTAATTTAATTTATCTGTAACCTAGGAGTGGATTCAGATGAAATTATGCAGGTCTATTCATCAAGGATGATTTCTTTCTTTCTTTTTTTATGTTGAGCCCCTCTTGTTTGGAGTGCTGGACAGGGTGACAGATGAGGTCAGGCAGGAATCTCTGTGGACTATGATATTTGCAGACAACAACGATCTGTGGTCAGGGTAGGCAGCAGGTGGAAGAGAGCCTGGAGAGGTGGAGAAATTAAAATCAGTAGAAGGTGTGAATGAAAGGGAGACAGCTGAAGCAGTGAGGTGCTGAAGTAATGAAGGTGGTGATAGCAGGACATTCTGGCACGACTGCTTTAGCCCCCCTATGTGTTACACATGGAGAAACCTTTTGAATACAAAACACACTATCTATGTCCATACTTACAGTCCTAAGTGAATACAAAACTAATATAGACCATTATAACGCTTAAAAGTGTTGGTGTCTCCCGCAGGGAAATTGCAAACACAGTTTAGGTGTCCATGAGTACACTTTCCTTGACCATCAAAAGGCCCTCAGAAACTGGGGCTGCATTCTGCAGCTTTCTGCTATGCACTTAGTTGGTCAGGAGTTCATCCTACAAGAAGATAATGCCCCAAAGAATAAGTTCAAGCTATGTGTGGTATCGTAAAAGAAAGAACAAGATGGTAAGCTTGAAAACATGGAGTGGCCAGCAAAGTCTCAAGACTTAAACCCCATCAAGCTGCTTTGGGATGAACTTGGCAGAAGAGTGAAAGCAAAGCAACCTACAAGTGCTACACATTTCCAATATGGGAACTGCAACAGAGTTGGAAAGACATATTTATGTGGACACCGAACTCCTTATGCTGCTTGTTATTAGTTTTTTGTTATTTTTTAAAATAAATATTTGTAAATAGTTCTTTTGTGTTATAATCCATGAGCCAGGTTTTAACAGAGAGAGAGATCAGTAACATTAGATGATATAGGTCTGCCCCTCATAAATCTCTCCTAACTACTCTCAACAAACAGAATATGACATGAGAAGTATAATGACCTCGGATTGCTGCATACACATGACTTTCATATGTGTGACATCGAAAGAAAAAGTGAAAGAATAATTCACTTTTATTTACATCGGCCGTGACCTGCTTAGTCATTTCTTCACCACAAAGTCACATGGTTTCTGAGAAATCATAAGGTGAAGCTCACGATTATTCCTTTTAATCATTAAGGCACGTTTATGGACCCTAAACTCCTTATATCTCTCATAACATCTCCCATTGGTTGAAAGCAAGTGGGAGGAGTTTGTGGGGGGCAAAATTAGCATCAAATGTTTCTGATCTCACTGTATATAAAGAACAGTGTCTGGTAGGATTTATAAGTAGGCAGCTGCATCTAGAAACCAGAGCTCAGAAGGTGAGTTTATGCAAAAGAGAGAGAATACCTTGTAAAAGCTGTCCATTTTACATATCAGTATGTAAAGATGAACTGGGTGGGAGAAGGGTCACTTTAAATCAGTGTAACATTTTTCATAGTCAGAATCTTTGAGATGATTCTTTAGCCTGAAGAGGATGAAAATTATGTGAATTGTAAGGTTTTTACTGTCTTCAGATCTCAGCAAATTTCAGCGCCAGTGACAAGATGTGCAGTTATTTTTCTCCATCTGGTGCAGACAGAAACATAAATCTATTTTATTTATTTTATTTTCATCTTTGATTGACTACTTGGATGTATGACTCACAGATTTCCTGAAAAGAAAAGAAGTCACTGAGATGGAGGACTGTGATGAAATTTTGGAAGGTGAGGAGAAGGAAACAAGAGCTCTGTCATTTCCTGTTGGGGTTGGTGTTGCTGTTGCTGTGATGTAAACATTTTCTGTTCCCATTTTCTCTCTGCTGCAATGCACAACAGGAGTTTTTCAAAAGTCAGCTGTAAACAGCTTGATTAGTTTTCATCTCAATCTCATTTCATTTCATCTCTTTCAGTTAATAATAATAATAAAAGCGAATTAGTTAGGCAGGTGTCCTCTAAAACGCTCTGTCCAGATGAAAAGAATCAAAGAATTTAAAACAGTTTTCTTTTGTCTACATTTCAATTTTCAATTCAATTTATTTATAAAGCGCCAAATCACAGTCGCCTCAAGGCGCTTTTTATTGTAAGCTAAACTGTACAATAATACATGCAGAGAAAAACCGAACAATCATATGATCCCATATGAGCAAGTGCTTTGGTGACAGTGAGAAGGAAGAACTCAATTTTACAGGAAGAAAACTTTTAAAAGCCTAATTTTAAAAATATGGATAGTGTCAGTCTCCCAAATTCAAACTGGAGGCTGGTTCCACAGAAGAGGGGCCTGAAAGCTGAAGGCTCTCCCTCTGATTTTACTTTTAAATACTCTAGGAACAAAGAAAAAAAGGAACAAACCCAAATAAAATAATGTACCATCCCACATAGCCAGGTCTGGCCCGGATCTGGTGTCAAGCTGGCACTGCTAGCTGACTTCTGGCATATGTTGTTAAGAGTTTATTCGTCTTATTCTGCAATCAGATGTGAGGAAATAACACTCAGACACTTTTAGCAGTTTGACGTGCACGGGTGAGAGCTCAACGGAGGCTCACACCCTGCGGCAGTTCTCTGCCTTTATTTATACATAGCATGAAGCATACAAATGAGGAAGTAACATGCTTATCTAGTCAAGCAGGCTGTTGTGACTTCTCGGAACATTATGTCCTCAAATAGTCGCTTCTTATTCTTGGGCGACGGTTTCCTGTTATCTTGGGCGACGGTTTCCTGTTATTGTCAGATAATGTGACAGCAAACAATTTCCTTTATTATTGCAAAGAGCAAGCGGTTAGTTGTGCAACTGGTTTAACATGAACAGAAATATAAACACTTCTAGTATTAATATATGAATAATAAAATCTTAGATAATAAAAATCCTCTAACATATGTCATCCAGATATAGCCCAGGCCTGGCGTAGGTGTCACTGTTTATGTTATGGCATGCCACATCTGGCACTACGTTTAGAGACAGTGTGTGACTGGGTGAATGTGACATGTTGCATAGAGCACTTTGAGTAATCTGGGAGTAGAAAAAGGCTATATAAGAATCAGTCCATTTACTGTCTGAACAGAGATTCGTCATGTTACTTTTGCACTATTATGTTCCGGCACATGTTGTTATTACATGGCTTGATTAAGGTACACGTTAGGCTGACATCTGGGGCCAGAACTGAAACTGTTCTGGGCCAGCACAGGGCCAGCAGTGTGTCTGCAACTGGCCTTGTGCTGGCCCACACATGGGCCAGATCCAGGCCATACCAATTTTGCTATGTGGGTATGAGGTCTTTATGATAAGATGGGGCCTGATAGAAAAATAGGAAACTAAAATTAAAGAGTAATAAAACTTGTGCAAAAAATGTCCACAACCAAAAACAATAATGAATTAAAAGAAACTTTAAACCAAGGGTCCAAAATGCACTGACCATGTGTGACCATGGTGTAGCCCCACCCTCACATTCAATTATCAGTTCTCTTCTCCAAATTCTAAGGAACATGCTTGGTCAAAGAAAAGTAGCTGAGACAAAGCTTTACCCCCCAAATTATCTATAATTTATTTAACTTTCAAAATACTTTTAATATAATTTTTTTATATACCATCCATAAATTCATATGAATACTAAAAGCTTTAAAATCAGTGGTAAGGCCCAGACATGTACACCTGTGGCTGGAGGAAACAATTAGTCCACCACTTTTTACACAATGCAATGCATGCAAAAGGAATCATCACTACAATCAATCGCACGAAAAGAAAATTAATTAACAAAAAATTGATTCCATACGTGCTTATCTGGTGTGTCTCACAGAAAGTGGTCACCAACAAGCAGATTGCCCGAACACAGCATCTTCACCACCAGCCTAGCAGCACATTTTCACACACAATTAAACAACTTCCTCTGCACACTGGTTACCACATCTGACAGCCCAAACACCAGGAAAACATGGTGCACAGCTGTATACGATTGAGCATTTACAATACCACCCAGTCACAGCTGGCATCATTCTAGTGCAATAACCAGGCAGGCAACGGCCAATTACAATGCCTGTATAAGCTTGTTTACCAGGAGAAAATTGGAGATGAAATAAACAAAGGCTTTGATTGTATTGTAAAATAATTATTTTCTGTTTTTAGAACCTGACAGTGCCCCCCCGGGTCAAAGAAAACACCAGAACATCCAACCACGGGCGTCAGAACCAACAAGTATGGGCATCCCAGAGAGTGGCAGGAGTGTCCAGCGGGTAGGGATTAATTTTAAATAATAACTTATACATTTTTTATAACAATTTTGGGGCTGCTTCCCCTGAAGCAGGCAGGATAGGACCTAAATGCAGACTCACGGAGGCAAGAATAAACTCAGAAGGTAGCTTTATTGCTGAACACAGGAAAATACAAAAATTAGCTAAACTGGACATACACATGAAACTAAACAGGTAGACAGGCAGAACACATGGCGGGGGAATAAGGGAGAATGCAGCAGTGGACAAAGGGAAACATAGGGTTTAAATATACAAGGAATGACGAGGCAACGGGAAACATATGGGAAACATAGCTGAGACGAATTAGGCATGTCGAGACAGAGGAAGCAAACTTAAACACACTGAACATAGAACGCCAGATTATCAAAATAAAACAGAAACATAGTGAGATGTATACTGTAACAATAGGACGTGGAACACGCAGACATGAAACACATGATAGACTGGGGAGACAGGATGGATCACAAATAGAGGAACATGGGAACACGCAAGGAGGACAAAACACAGACACGACTAAGGGGGCAAGGGAGAGCGAGAGGGAAACACAAAGGCGAGGGAGTGCGCGAGGAACCCAGAGAGCGAGAGAAGACAAGAGAGAGAGAGACATACACGAGGGGCTGGGGGAAAAGGGGGCATGACAGACAGGGTAAACATGGAATGAAACACAAGGAGAGGAACATGGGAGCAGAAAAGGGAAACAAGACTCACGTTCTGTTACAAAGTAGGTATTTATAGATTCAGTTGATTGGGATTAAATGTTTCCTGTTGGATGGATTTCAGTTGTTGATATTCAAGAAATTTAGTGTTGCTGATTCTAGTTCATAAAAATTAAATAAAGTTTCCATCTTGTAGAACACGTTATTTATCCTTTTCTCATGCCATGATTGAAAATTTACTATTTTCTTTTTGTGACAAATATCTGGATTATTCCAAATGGGTGTTAGATTACATTGAATAACTAAAGATTTCATTATATTTCAACGTGTATTATGAATGGAGTGATTTTTCACTCTATTCATAAATGTTCAGAATACATTTTTTTTCTAGTAGTAGGTTTCAACAATTGTTTTTCTCTACAACAAATTAGCTTACCATTGCTCCAATTTTTCTCCCAAAAACATGCTTTCTTGTATTTGGAAAACTGAGGATCATATAAGTATATAGTATTTTTTTCATTTGTATTGCATTTATTACATTTGTGTTCTTTTTTTTTTTTTTAATCCTCTGCTGTGTAGCAGCTTTTGTAATCACAATTATGATCTGAATGCACTGTTGTGTCAAACATATTTTTCTTTTTATAGTATTACATTATTTGTGTAGTATGACAATATTTAAGCTGATATTTAATACATACACCGACCTGTTTGGTCAGGATGTATTATGAATGAAGTGATTTTTCTAATCTTCTGACAAGGGCATTGCAAAGTATTTTAGGTCTAAATTTATAAGTCA